GCTCCCAGCCAAGACTCTTAGAACCTAAACATTCTTTTCCAAGCCTGCAGACCTTTTTGCTAACCTCAGGACACTGTGCTTTCTCCTTCAAACCATTTGTCTGCTTTTCACTGGAATGAAAATGCTCCAGTAACTTCATTCAAGAATTGTTAATAGTGCTGACATACTGGCAGTAGTAGGTGGCTTCCCTTTTGGTAAGAACAGGTAACTTCTTTAGCTTAGGTTTGCAGGGCACTTAGAGAGAGAGGACATCAGTTTTCTCACTGGATTTTTTTTCCCTCTTGCTTGGTAAATGGTTACTTTGAGGTGTACAGTTTAGAGAAGACGCATCACTCAAGAGCAGTGCAGTTTTTCAGTATAGCTTCCAGCCTCCCCGGTCAGGATGGGGGAGTGTGTAAATGCATCAATGAGATGATTAAAACAAATCCAAGTTCCACCTGTTGACTTCTAGCTGCATAGATCTTGCATGCTGCCAAATCCTATGTCATTCACTGAGGTTTTTAAGCATTTTCAACTGAAATTCTAGAAGTGCATAGTGTCTGTGACAAGAAGATGCTGGTAAATATGAAATATTGCCTCCCATTATCTAACACATGTAACTTCAGGGGGGCATGTTACCAGTATTTTGGGAATATATGGTATGCTATTGTACTTACTAGCACTCCTTCACTGTGTCATTTATTAATTAAATATATCAGGACAAAATTATCTCACCACAATTCTCAGCTGTATCATCGTATTTGAAATAGGTTCACTATTATGTGTAAAAATCTGGTATGTCAGAAATTTCACTCTTTGATTATCGGGGTTCAATGACAGTATTGGGATAGAGCTTTGCCTCTGTCTACACAGCTGGAGGAATCACAGGTCCTGGGATGGTGAATGGATGTATAAAATACAGCTCTATGGTATAGTTACTATCTTCCTTTTTTCAGCTTTTCATACTTCATTCAGGCAACTGGGCAATGGCTTATGTGTGACCTACCATCTTGTTATTACAGTGTCTTGACATTGCAATAGTTGATACCTGGTGGATATCCACTCATTTTATCCACTTTAATAACACTGCCACTCAGGATTTAATAATACTGAAAAGAGCAGGGAAACTGAGGTTATTATCAATGGAACAGTGGCTTTAGTTTGGTAGAGGACTGCAAAGCATGGAGGACAGAGACACCAGAAGGTGTATCATCTCTTTGATTTTCATATTTGAAAATTTTAAAACCGTTTTAAGAGTAACTTCTGAAAAAGATGATGTAAAGAAGGCAATTTTGTGTCAAAAAGTTGCCTACATTTGTGCACCAGAAAACCAACATGATAAGTAGGAAATTATTTTGTTGGTGATTTTTATGATTCACAAAATCTCAGTTATTTGCCTTTGGTCTTGGTTTTCAAACACATTATGTCATTGATTACTTGTTTGCAATATTTGATATTTGAAGTAATGGTAGGTCAGTTCAATGATGTATAATGAATAACTACGAGTCCTGGAGAGAAAGCTGTTAAATTTTAGTCTGACTTGCCTCTAATATCTAGGTCACATTTAAATTTAGAAATATCTATTTTCTTGTCATAATTTTGTGATTTGAATCTGCAGAAATATGATGTTTTGAGTCAGCCTTCCACTCAGTTCTTCTGGCAACATTTTTTTTCTTGTTGACTAAAACTTTAGTAGGAAATGTAATAAGGTTTTTACACCAATGCTAATGGACAGAATAAAATGACAATCACTCTCAGCCTAAATTTAATGAGGATCTGACCACTGACTCTTTTGATTGATTCCTGATTTTAGCAACATGAGAAAAATAATTCAAACTATTATGCAAATTATCCATACTAAGATACAGAATATATGACACACATACATCCTCATGAGCATGACATGTTGAAGTTCTATCATTATGCCATTTGTTCTAGTCAGTGGCTGCCAAGAACAGGTTTCTATATTTGGTAAAGTGTTTGTGATTTGCATCATAATTTTCAACCATTTTTTCCGAAAATTCCCCACCCACCCTGACAAAAGTGTAGACGAATCAACAAAGATTGAGAATTATAACTAATGGTTGTATTGGTTTTTATTTCCAGTACCATAACTGTTAAATGGCAATGTTAACCCATCCATCACTGTTCACCTGTAGAACATTTGTGGTTTATATCAGTAGTGACTATTTGCACACATACTGGCTTTTGCGGTGTATAGCGTTCTTGTCACTGTCATCAATGAACATGCCTAGTATTTATTAGAAGTTTGAGATGCACTTGTTGACACCTCACATGTTGTGTAATTTAGCAAGGGGAAGGATTTTATTATGTCACACACATGCACAACCAATAATTACAAATGGGAATATTCAATGAGAAGGGTCACAGCCTTGAAACTCTGCATAGATTTTATTTTGGCAGAAGATAGGTCTGCATTGCCTTGGCCATGGGAGGTGATCAAATCACCACTGCTAAGTCCCATGAAAGTGTAGGAAAGTCAGCAAATTCAAATGAGAATTGCTACATGGTGTCCTGTATCAGGCTATGTGGACCCTTAGCTTTCACAGCAAGTGACTCTGAAATAGCCTATCTTACTGTCCCTCTGCTGGGTCAGTCTCCGACCCAGAGAAGCTGTCTGGATCCATGCCTCACTCAGGACTCTGCTGTCCTGTGGGACTCTGGTTTTAGTGAAGTTGAGTGCTCTGCCATGGCTTTTGTTGACCCATACTGACCCTGAATAGCTCTTTTGCTTTCTGTAAGCACATCTGACTCTGTCTGGAGGTAGAGCCCTGCACTTTCTGTGGGGGGAGTGAGGGTAGAAGTTTAATCACACTGACCAAAAGTAATTGCTGTGGCATGTTGTTTGAATATTTCTGCTCAGTGCAGAGCCTCCAGGGAGACACAATGCCTCCTGGAGCTCACCATGTCCTTATGGGCGTGCTAGCTGTCCTATTATTTAAAAGACAGCAGTATGTGCTGCCCTGACACCCCTGCTAACTGCCATGTGCCTGCTCCTTGTCATTGCTTCCTCTCAGGCTTTTGGAGGGTACAGATGCCAGCAGGCAGTAGCACTTACTCAGTGGTCAGCAATGGGTTTACAATTCATGCCTGTTTGAAGGAACCTCTTTTGATCGTCTCCCCACCTTTCTGCTTTAAAAAATTAGTCATCGCTTTCACCTCTGCAGGACATACAGAGTCAGCATTTGCCTCTGTTCTTCCTCAGTGCTGATGGGTTTAATACACATGTAAGCAAGATCCCTAAAACTGCTTGAGCATAAATGGCAGACGCTTCAGCTCTTTGGTACAGTACTTGCTGGAATAATGCTTCCTTGGTTGTGTAGTCAGCAGAGAGCTCTCTGTGATTTTACATATCTTTCATCTCAAGTCACATCTAAATGTAAAATCCAGTGCTCAGGGACATTATATGGATTTGTGACATCTTCTGCTGGGCTGCAGATTAATGAAGCAATGACTGGATTATGCAGCCTCCCCTACATGTATTTCTTCACCTTTGGCAGATGTAATATTGATAATATCCTTTATATAATATGTCATTCCCCCAGGCATAATTCAGTGGAGGTTACCAATATATTTCTCTCTTTCACTTAGCTTTTCCTAATATCATCTTGGAGAGAATTTGGCAGAGCAGAAATTGCATTTAAGAAGGTAAGGAAGAAAGTGCATTAGTGTGGCAGGCAGGAGTACTATTCTGAACAAAGGGAAAGGAAAGTTACATGCTAGTTTGTTTGCTAAGTCATGCCATGGCCCATGTAGCATGTGTTGGTTAGCAAAGCAGCATGGACTGTGTAGCTGAAGAGTATTGTCACATTGTGACACATGGCAATAAGGAGAATCAGCCACAGTTTTCCAGGTCTTGGGATACAACAAATGGAAGATGGACTGTCTGACTTAATGACAACATTCTCCGAAGCTGCTCCATGTTTTCAGCTGACAATAGTGCTGAGGAGATGTCCGTGATAAGGACAGGTCAATTTTGTGTGTAGCTTCTGACTGTCACAGACAAAAGGAAAGCATGAAAGCCCATGAGTAGTTCTCATTGTTTCTCACTGGAAGCCAGCATGCTTCCACCAACACTAGTCTTATTCCTTACACTCAGGACAAACAGTGAGAATCCTATACCAGACCAGGAGAATGAGACATTAAATAGACATAATCGTGATGCCAGAATGTGTGTAATCCAGGTCTAGCTGAAATCTCAGGCTTGCCATAGACTTCACTGGAGAAAGAGCTTTCTATTAGCATTTTGACTCTTCTACCAGAATTTTTGGTGTTTGAACTTGGTAGACCATCTATGCTGCTAAATTCCCCACAGAAATTAAAGGTACTTTTTAAGTTTAGTGATCTGTCCGTGTACAGAAGCTAGTGAACAGGAAAGTATGCTGTATTTTAAAGCATTATTTGTATTCATTCCTAAAAAATGTCAGTTTCTAGAATTATAGTTCAAAATTTCTTGTTTGTGTTTACTCAGGCTCATTGATAGTGCTTTTTGATTTACATGATCTAGAAATATATGCCATTTTGTTGCTATAAGCTGGGAATGTATGAACTTCAGTTGTTGGCTTTATTTGCTGGTTTACTTGTTTTTATCACCTCTGAGTGATTCCTTACCCCTTCCAAAATCTGATTCTTCGCAGCTGAGAAGGGAACTGCTTTCTTGAGAGATTCCTGCTTTTCATTACATCAAGCGAAGATACTCGTTCATTTGTAACTGGGAATTACATATTTCTGGGGGAAAAAAAAAAGAGATAGGAAGGCTGGCTTCTCAAAGATATAGCTTACTCTATGAGAAACCTTAAACATAGGATGTTCTATGTGTCACAGCAAGAACTTACCTTTTCCTTGTGAACTTTTGGAATGGAGTTCTGGCAAAGCTTTCACTATCTAGGTGGAATTGAAGGACAGGGAGAGGAATCAGCAGAATGCTAGTTTGTGCACTTCATTTTGAAATGCAAATGCTTGCCATTTACCCATTTTATTCTTCCTTTTCTTTCTTCCAGAAATCTCCTCTATGTTTACCCTCAGAGGCTGAATTTTGCTAACCGACCGGCTTCTGCAAGAAACATTACCATCAAGATCCAGTTTATGTGTGGCGAAGACCCGTCCTGTGCAATGCCGGTAATAAATGCTGAGATTTCTTAGCAGACTTTTGCTTAAGTGTATTCCTGAGGAACCTCTGAAGACATAACTCATTGTTTACTTCCCATCACCACAGCTTCTAGTGGGACCTTAGGAAGCCTAACATCAGAGAGCTTGTGAAGCTTGTCATTCTCATCATAAAGGAGGGCTGTAGTCCCTACCCACAACAGGAAATACTTGTCGCTCAAGTGGAATGGAGGCATGTTACTCCCTCCTATCTAAGTCTTCCTACCTTACTTTCAGAAAAGTAACATAGCATTAAATCAATGCTGCGTTGGGAACTCTAATGGTAAAATTTCACAGAACTTCAGAGACCTTATAAAAATGATGTCGTCTATCTTCCAGTGTAATTCCTCCATATGCACTATGTGTACACAAATACTCATGTGTAACACTGGAAGCTGGAAGTTGGGATCTTCATTGCCTGAATCTGAACGGGTGCACAATCATGCAGTGTAGGTAGAATTTTCTGTGTTTGAAACACGTTGTGTATTAGGGCATACATGTGCACTACTAGCAGAGCAGGCAGCACTGTCTGTGTTCAGGTTGTTCAACATTTCTCATTATAAGATCCTCCCTTCAGCTTTACTAAGCTTCAGATGTTCAGTTTGAAGTGTTCTAACCCAGACGTCTGCTTCAGCCTGAATTTTTTGGGAAATTGTCAGACAGCGTAATCGGCTATTTGAAAATGACATAATTGGGATAAAATCTTTTGTGATTTTATGTGTTAGAGGGGGAAAAAAAAGAGTGGAAATATTACCTTGAGGAACTTTAATCCAATATGTTGGAGCAAGGACTGACACCTGACCAGCCTTTATCAGTGTGCTGACACTGCACAGTATATGCTTCTCAGCCTTACTCCATATGAGCTCTGGAATTGAAATTAGAGCTTCAGCACAGTGTTTTCCCAAGCCATGTTTCTTCCAGAGCTGGAGCTGTGCCATGTGAATGTAGCACCATCTTTTACACAATACTGCATTGTTGGTTTCCTTAAACTCTGCCCATATTACGATTAAGTTTTGACAAATGCTTAGGACAGACACAGTTTGTCTGGCATCCCTCTCCACCGTGAGAGAGCTTTATCTCAATACATATGGACTTGTGCTGTACAGATATACTTCTATCTAAGCTCATGTCCCAGGGCTCCCTTTAAAGTTATTGCGTTCCAGGACCTTACCATGAGGCTATGTTTGAAATGAGGGAAGCAAATCGTGCACCGAAAATGCCTATTTCTCTTCATTGATTGTAAAGGAACTTGGGAACTCTAAGGTAAGGTGAGATGGGTCTCACCCTAAGTGAGCAGGCTACAACTGAAAAACAAACTTCTAAAAATAATTTTAATTTAACTTTTTAGCATTTAGTTAAAGTCAATGTGACAATGTGTAAGAGGCTTACCATAACTGTATTCCTGCAATTCCTAACTTTTTAGTGCATGACTGGAGAATGTGATGGGAGGTAGTCACTGGCTCCGGAAATGACCTCTGCTCTGTTTTCCTGGTGTTTTACCCTGAATGGTGTGTGGGGAAGATGCTTCGTAGTAAGACATTTGTGTCAACATGCTAAGATAAAATTGAAGAGTCATTTTCAGCCTTCAGATACTGTCTTAAAATGTATATAAGATGATGACAATTGAATGCTTTAGACCTGACTGCTGTTACTTTCTTTTCTTCTTAATGTAGGTAATTTTTGGGAAATCTTCAGGTCCAGAATTTGTGCAAGAAATACACACAGCTATCACATATCATAATAAGTAAGTATTGTTGCTATATGTGTGATTTGAGAAGTATTAATCATGACTTCTTTAAATAATTCTTAGCCTACATAGTTCATCAAGGAATGCTGGTACTAATCCATTTTAAACATTTACATTTTATGCAGATTTGTCATATCTAATTTGGATTGCTACTTGCATTTGCATAAGTGACCATTTTTCCATAAGTGACCATTGTGTAAGCGACTCTTGCTTTTCTTGTTTGGAGCTTTTCAGAGGTTAGTTGAGAATATTCCTAATCTGAAGATTAAGGAACAGGAGCAGGAAGCAGCAGCACAACTTTGTAACAGCATTCACTTCGATGAATTCACAGATCCAAAAGAGCTGAAGGGACATTCTCATTCTCATGAATGTGGACTCAGGATTCAGGATTTACACAATAAATATGCTGGAACCCAAAATTAAGACAATGTTTTTGAAAATATAGAGATGGGTGAAAACTGAAACATTCCAGCTGATACCATCTATGCTTTTCCTGATTCAAAGCTGTAGATAGTTCATAAATATAGCTGTATATATATGTACTTCGTTTAGCTCGGCTCTGAGGCTGTTTTCAGGATTTACACAGTTTTTATAACCCTAGCATCTAAAAGCCTACTGGCAAATTTGCCTTCTGCTCAATCTCATACTTACATTGGAAATGTGCTTGGCATTTTTTTAAACAGGTCCCCTGACTTTTATGAAGAAGTGAAAATTAAGCTGCCAGCAAAACTCACAGAGAAGCACCATCTATTGTTCACGTTCTATCACATCAGCTGCCAGCCAAAGCAAGGAGCATCTGTGGAAACCCTCCTCGGCTATTCAGTAAGTTCCATGTGATATATAAGTGTGTGTGTATATGTATCTACATCCCATGCAAACAGACTCTTTCCTCTTCAAGAATTTTGTCATATATTCCCTTTCTGGTTATGGTAATACATCAAAACCAGTAGAAGGTCTTAATCTTAATTCACAGAAAGCAGATGCAACCTGTGCTATGTTGCATCCTCGTCCTGGAATTTTACATCGTTAAGTGTCTTTGGAGTTGATGAATTCACCTGATGCAACTGAAGTTAAGTATACACCTAAATATTTGGATCAGCAATGCTTTATAGCATATCACCTAATTCTGTTAGATTGTATTTATTGCAATAAAACCCCTAAAACATATGCAATTACAATTATTTACTGTTATCTAACATGTTCATACACGAGGTAACAACTAATACAATATTTTCAATTAGGTTTTATATGGCATATCATTTATGTTCTAAAGTGTCTTTTACCCACATCAAAATTAAAAAACAGAAAGCATCTAGAAGGTAAAATGTAATTCTCTTGCATTCATTACCTTCATGTTGAGGCTAGCCTATTTTAGCTTAAGAAATATATATTGTAGCATAGTCTCCTTGACCTTTTTCTTTATCAATCAATATTTTTAACTGGAAAGATTTTAAAATAAGAGGAAAGCATAGATGATGATAATACTTCAGATTTGAAAACATCTTAGTGCTATGGTCAGCAGTTGAGCTGTGGGGCCAGACAAGTGCTTTTGATGAGTTCCTGCTATGAAGTTTGTATTTGTTTTTGATCCCAGTACTGAGAATCCTTCCAAAAGGGCTTTCTTTTATGGACAGATATAGTCCCACCAATGTCAATGGGATTGGTAAGAAGTAAATCAGTTTGTAGTTCAGGAGCAAGACTTGGCACAGGTGAGGACTTAATTTTCAAGCTTCTGCTCACCTAAATACAAAATATTTCTGTCCTGGATCCTCAAATGCACAGTCTCTTTCAGACTTGAATAGGAGAAAAATTAAGTGTGTCAAATATGAATACAGGGTTATGATGAGTCATTCTGGCCTTAATCCTCATGGTGACCACAACCAAGATGTTCAATTTATCCTTAGCAAAACTTTAACTCTGTTGGTTTCCTTCAAAGCCAAGGATCAGTCTATTCAAGATACACAATTTTTTACATAAAAACATGGACTCTACTAAATCCTTCTGGTAGGATTTATAAGAATAATATATGTCACACATGAAAAGCTCTGTGTTTGTTTTCTTCAAAAGGGATGGTTTGTAAAGCAGTCTTGTACCTTTTTCTACAGTAGCTATCAGTGAATTTAAAATGCAAAGAAATTACTGTTGAATGGGTTAGAGCAGAGAAGCTTGGGTCAATATCTCATTTGTTGTTTTGTTGACTGTACATAACAAATTAGATAAATAGCCCTAATCGTATATAGTCATGAATATTGCTGTGTTTTTTCTTCATTTGTTTCAGTGGCTGCCAATTCTGTTAAATGATCGTCTTCAAACTGGACATTATTGTCTTCCTGTTGCATTGGATAAGCTGCCTTTCCACTATTCAATTCACTCTCCTGAGGTAACAAAGAAAATTATGAAAAGATAATATTTCCCTAATGTAGAAGAATAGTGTAAGTGTTTTACAAGCTAACATTGCTGACTGCTTGTAGACAATGCCTCCTTGTTGTACTTTAAAAGGGGAAAGCTCTGGAGAAAAATGTTGTTGTTATTATTGTCACTGGTGTTATTATTATTTTATATTGTGTTTTTTAAAGTTAGTTATCCAAGCAAATCCTTGTAAATTGTCTAATCAGGGATACATTTGTTTAGAGGGTGTCAAGTCAATAATTTGCTTTCTTCCATAGGATGATTTACTCATTTTTTTGTGGCTGTGTGGGTGAGGGAGGAGAAATGGAATCAGGTGCTGCTACTGGAGCAGAAAACTCTGCCCTCTGAGTAAATACGGCAAGTAGCACCACATGACATGGAGTGCCTTTGGCAGTGCTTTAACTGGGAACTTCTAACCTTAAAAATGTCCCATCAGAAGATATATATTCGCACTGTCTGTGCTAGGCGTCCAGCTGAAGTGCTCCAAGTTTCCCTGTGCAATGTATCAAGTTCTCTCCATCTAGCCTATGGGAACAAGAAGATGCCTAGCTGTGGTCCTCTGTATGGCACTGAATTCGGATATCTAAAATTAAGTGAATAGAGTGAATACCCTATAGATGCCCGTGTAAACAGACTTTTTGTTTGATAGTTAAAAGGAAGATGATGATTCCCATATTTCGTTTCCATCACAGAAAGTTCCATCTCAGACACCACCGATTAAGTGGGTTGAAGGACACAAGGGTGTTTTCAATGTTGAAGTGCAAGCTGTTTCATCTGTTCACACTCAGGTAATGCATCAGAAGCAACATACAGCTGTAGTTTCATTTCAAAGAGAATTCAGATGTCCAGACCAACTTAGGAGGTTTATGAAATGGAGATGTTTAAGCCCACACAGGTTTAAAAACAACTAACAGCTATGGAAGTAACCTGATATCCTCAGAGAATGAAATCCTTTGTTGAAATGAAATCCATTGGTACAAGTGAACAAATGAGCACTCTCAGCAGCAAGTCACATCAAGCAATAGGGAGGCTGGTGTCCTCTCAGCTCAGCAAGGGTCTGCTTAGGCTGTGTTTGAAAGGCACTGGCAGGGCACAGTGCCAGTTTCTGCAGTTTGCATCTTCTATTCTGCAAGGCTAGTTCAGACAATGTGTCTACATCTGCAGAGACACAGCACCTCCCCACCTGTAGGGACAGGTTATACTGCCAGAATGCTTTAGGCAGCTCAGCCGTCAATGCCATGTGGTGTGGGCACACAAGTTTAGTGCTGAGTGAGAACTCTATGATTCTGGTCATTTGAATGTGATAGGAAATTGGAGCTTTGCCCATCCTACTGGGGTACAGGTTGAAGCAGTGCAACTTTATTTTGTTTCTGCTCCTTTACAGTGTCTCCTACCCATCATCCCATTCTAGTTAACCCTGGTGGCTATGTCCCAAAAATTGGAGGCCCTGTGTCTGAAACAGGTCCATCACCCCTTTGCAGCATGCCTTTTAAATATAAGTAGGGCATGCTCATAAGGCGCACAACTTTTGTGTAGCTGGAACTTATGTGTGGGTGGCAGAGGGATAGACCTATGACATGACAGAGTTTTGTCAGGGAGAGGGAACCGTATTTTCATTAAATGAAGTAATCACTTTAGTGAGGGCTTTAACTTTTCTGCTTTTAATCTGATCTAACCAGAGTCTGAATTTCAGCCAGATGAAAAGGAGCAAATAAAAGGCTGTGACAGCTGCTTTACAAATTGATCTCCAGGGCTAGCCACCACTGCAAGCCAGAAGGGTGAAAATATTTTCTCTCCTCCCATGAGGACAATCAGACTTTGCTTAGCTAGCCGCAGCCTGAACTATATCAACTTTGTTAATTGTGAGTGCTGTATTTGCAGGATAACCACTTGGAGAAGTTCTTCACTCTGTGCCATTCTCTGGAAAGTCAAGTGACATTCCCCATTCGACTGATGGACCAGAAGATTACAGAGGCTACACTGGAACATGAATTGAAACTCAGCATTATCTGTTTGAATTCTTCACGCCTTGAACCTCTTGTCTTGTTTTTACATTTGGTACTAGATAAACTTTTCCAGCTGGCTGTACAGCCCATGGTCATAGCTGGCCAGACAGGTATTTACTGGTGCATGGCCTTGGAGTGGTAGTGCAAGCAACCTAGAGATGTGCGGGAAATGATTGCTAAATATCCAGGCTCAGATTTAGTATTTGGGGTAGTCCACTTCAGAAAGAGTTGTGCTTCTCAAGACACAGTTTCACTGCACAACTTAATCAGGTTTAACTGAGTCTGCCTTCTCTCCTTTTCGCCCTACATAGAATACTCTCAGACTTTGGTTGGGAGGTATGTTAAATTGTAGTGGTTTACTTACCTGGAAATATAGGTCAGAAAGTGGATTGTGGTTTAACTGTGTTTGGTATTCAGTTATTTTGCAAGGAAAATGCAAGCAAAATCACTTGTCCTACAGCTGACATTGCTGACTGCACCATATCCTCTGCCCAAATATCTTTAGAGAGAATTGGGTGAGCACGAATAAGAGAGGGTATAGTAACCCACACAGTTTTTTCTGTTACTGAGGTTGCCAGTTGCCCATCACATATGTTAACTCTGGAGGGAAAGCATACTTGGAGACAGTGGTGTAGTTTATTTCCTATCTCATTTTAGTAATCAACACTTGTGATCCACTATAATATTTGTGGAAAAGCCTGCTAGCTTGTGTTTGTCTGTCAGCTGGAGAATAATGAGTCTTAGTGTTCCTCAAGTAGGTATTTTATAGGAAATGCATGAAGGCTGCTAGAAATTATAATTAACAGTTACAGTCTGCTTTTATCTAGCACAAAGTGATGGAGAAGCAGTGATTGGGTTGAAAGTTAGTGGGTCTACTGAAGAGTGGTCATTGGCCTATGTAGACCTTGGGTCTGGTCAGGTATAGCAGTTGCTGTCTAAAGCTCTGAATTTGTTAAGGACTGATTAAAGCATGCAGGATTAGTTGTTATTGGTACAAAGAACGCCCTCACCTAATAATATTATACCCTTCAGTGCTGAGACTAATTCTTGCCTTTGTTTCACAGCCAACTTCTCACAGTTTGCCTTTGAATCTGTGGTTGCAATAGTGAACAGTCTCCACAACAGCAAAGACCTGAGCAAAGACCAGCATGGGAGGAACTGCCTCCTGGCATCTTATGTCTACTATGTATTTCGCCTGCCAGACCCTCAAAGAGAAGTAGTCAAAGCAGGTAATATTGGTGCAAGGGTTGCAAAAGTATTCTTTTTTCTTGATACATGCTATTCAGCATGGTGCTTCTGAGAGGAGGACTTAGGGAACTGGCCTATAAAATAGCAAACACAACTTCTCAGACCCAGACTGCATACTACTTAAGCACAGCACTGTTCAGATATATCATTTTTCTCAGAGGAAGGTCAGGGATCTCAGTGCAGCAAAGAGCAACATGGACTTGCCCCCCATAATCTCTATCTCTCAGTCATGCATTTAAGATGCAGGGTTGAGATGAGAGAACTCCACAGCTATTGCAACACCGTAGCTTCATGAAGATGAAAGTGAGAGACATCTCCTAAACTGAGGCTTTCTTTAGAGGAACTTCCTCCAGAAATTAAAATGGCCTTAAGATGCCAATTTCTTACTGGCCTGCACATCAGTAAACTACTTTCCATGCAAACTAACTTACTGCCAGGTGGCATAGGGTCAAGCTCTGCCAATTTCTCCGTCGCATTAGGGATGTCATCAGAGGATAAAATCCTGTACGTTGGCCAGCAGGTTGAGGGAGGTGATCCTTCTCCTCTACTCAGCATTGGTGAGGCCACACCTGGAGTACTGTGTCCAGTTCTGGGCTCCTCAGTACAAGAGAGATATGGACATACTGGAGAGAGACCAGCCAAGGGCAACAAAGGTGATGAAGGGACTGGAGCGTCTCTCCAATGAGGAAAGGCTGAGAGAGCTGGGGCTGTTCAGCCTGGAGAAGGCAAGGCTCAGGGAGGATTTTCAATGTATACAAAGATCTATACATAGGTCTTTGGAGGGTGCAAAGAAGACAGAGCCAGGCTGTTTCCAGTGGTGCCCATTGACAGGACCAGAGGCAATGGGCACAAACTGAAACACAGGAGGCTCCCTCTCAACATCAGGAAACACTTTTTTCCTGTGAGGGTGACTGAGCAATGGAACAGGTTGCCCAGAGAGATGGTGGAGTCTCTCACCTTGGAGATACTTGAAAGCCATCTGGACACAATCCTGGGCAACTGGCTCTAGGTCGCCCTGCTTGGGCAGGGGAGTTGGACCAGATGACCTCCAGAGGTCCCTTCCAACCTCAACTGTTCTGTTATTCTGCTGCAGTCCATTGTCCTAAAGCCTATAGGATTCATTTGATCAATTGCTATGTATTAACTGACTTACCACCAAGCAGCTATGCTGTGGGAGCTAAAGATAAGTAGGCCCTTTTCTCTTTCAAATATTCGTTTAAATCCCCCTTGAGGGATGCTTAGACTGATGTTAGGATGTGCTAAAATCTCTGAGCTTGCCTCCACTTGGAAATTCTTTATCCTGGAAAAATAAGGTCCATGGGGAAGCTGAAAACTAGGTAATCATTTAGTGAAATTCTTGCCGCAGTACTCCTTGCTTCCTTGAATACTTTGAATGTGGTGTTAAATGTTATGTGTTGAAGGTGGTATTTTGTGTTTAGGCCCGTGAATCTTGTCTTAATATACAGCAAATTAAAAAGAGCCATGGGAAGAAGAAAGACCTATTGCAACAGTGCTGCGGCTCATGTAGCCCTGTTAATCTTTTGTTACTGCTTGTGCAATCACCCTGTGAGCTGTTGACTCAGAAAACATCTGCACCTTTTCATTCAATGCCTGTGTAATTTGTTAATGAAGCAGTTAGTGGTGAGTTTTTCAGGAGCTTTATGCTATTCAAAATGGTGATGCTGTAACAGAACTGAGCAAAGCTGGCTTGAATCTCATGTTTGTCTCATATATATGTCCTTTAGTCTTAGTTCAAACATCTCCCTTTGGGCAGGTGCAGGCAGCAGTGCCGTTTTGACAGAGTCTCGTTATTATACATTTGGACGCACTTCCGCAGTGTCTGTTGGGAGTAAACTCTTGCAGAGCCGAGTGATAAGCTGCAGCAATCCTGACATCACTGTTACACAAACTGCTACTGATGAGGAGGTCAAAAACATCATGTCATCCAAGGTAAGAGAACAAAGACAAATATCTGGAGAATTGTATGGGCCAAAACCTAATAATGTAGATTTGTTCTTTGAGGGTTGGATTTGCTTCTTGTAAATGCAGTGTATGTATCACCAGAAGCATTTGCTGTTTATCTGATTTGGCATAGTTACACGTTAAATCCCATTGCTAAATTCTGATGTCTTTTATCAATTAAGAGGGCAAGAGGTGGGAACTCTGTCTTTTGTTTGAGGCTTAGATACTCCACAGAGGGATTTGCTTTTTTGATGTCCCTCACTCTCCTGTTCTTCCTGATATTTAGGTTCTGTTCATGTCTGATGACGTGGGCTGGTCAAGGTTGCACAGGGTCAGTGTGAGAAAAGACTACTTTTGATTACACTGGGAACAGATTCACTTTCTGAAAGGGGTGAAAGAGCCCTCAGAAGGGAAATAGTTTTCCTAAAATGCACTGATAATTTATTCTTGCTCCTTTTAACTCTTTTTTTTTTTTTCAAATCACAGAGCCTGTTTAGTGCTAAATAGTTTCCTGTTAAAAAAAAAGTAGGCAATTTATATGACAGCAGTCCCATGGTTTTTTATCAGCTATAGTACAGATGCCACATGCACATTTTGTAACTGGGTCTTTCCAGATACTTAATTCAACCACAGAGTGAAACACAAACTTCCTCTGTCTTTCTCATGCACAACTACATGTTGTGCATGTGCCACCAACAGCTTATGGGATAGAAAGGACGATGACAGCTGAGAAGCAGAATTTTGCTTCCCTGATTGGCACCTGGTGCTTGCTGGTCTACGGCATCCCAGGCTCATATCAGAGCTTTATGAGGATGACTGTGCTTAGCTCTCTGGGGAAACCAAAATCTAGAGTTCCCCATCCAGCAGAGCTGGGAAGCTGTGCCTCTGACAAAAGCAGGAGTTTTCTCCTGTGCAAGGAACCTGCTCCTAGCTGCAGCCCTGGCAGAGCTCCACAGCAGCATGTCTGCTGAGCTCTGAACCGTATCCCCCCTCCCTTTTCTTTGGGTGTTATGTATATAAAACACTGCTTCTCAAGCAGGTTGTTTTCAGAAACATTTTGAAGCCTTTTCTCCATTGAATGATCACGTGCCTCTCCAGTTAAAGTGAATGGGTGCTTGTCTTCAGCAAATTAAACCAGAGCTAGTAAGGTGCACAGGCTTTGCCAATCTATTTGATTTGTATATATGGGCATACATATTCATACATAGCAATTTTTAATAATGTAGATTTGAACTTAATAGCTTTATGAATTTTACTCTAATGTACTGTGTCCTAAAAAAACAGATCTCAAGGCTTTTTTTTTCCAAATTAATACAAAATCAAAATGTTTGATATTACAGCTTCATCACACTGATAAATGTAGCAATTTACAATTGGCTGCTGCCATTTCACTGCCTTTTAAATTGGCATTAGTTTTAGTGGAAGGAAGACTCCCAGATGCTAGTTAATTTCGGATGTAAAGCCACCGGATAAACTTAAAGGACAGTTACCCTTGAAAGGGGCAGCACTTCAAAAATACAGCTGCAGTGCTGAAATTGGGCACGTGATGGCAGTGTTGGCATTTGCACGCTCCTGCGGCTGCTGCATTTAGGTCGTCTTTGGCCTCCACTGGAAAGGGGGATGGGGAGAAGGAAAGGAAGAGCTGTTTAGGTGAACATGTGTGCATACCTTCCAGAAAAACCACCGCTGCTGATTTCTTCTCTGTTAATTAGCTCAAGTTATGTATTAACTTACTATTATGTATTTCTTCTGGCTACGCCCTCCAGCCTATGGATCACAGCTCCAGCCGGATGTCTTTCTATGTTGAAGGAACAAATGACATGCCAAGTGTTTGTGCAAGTCCAAGACCATCCAATAAAAAGGTAGCCTACCACTAAGCGTGAGGGCACACATTAACAGAGCCTGGAGCCTCCTGAGGCAGTGCTGGCAATGAGCACTTCTAAACGAGGAGAGGGGAGAGAGAGAACAAAATGACAACTGGTTTTGTCGAACAAGGAGTTTGTGATGGAATATTGAATCAGGGGGTAAATATTACCCAAACTTTTCTGCTTCTGCTCCAGAGTCTTTAGATTCTTTTTCCAGGACAGATTTAGACAAGTAGCAGCCTGCCTGGATCCTCCCTTTGCTCTCTTTCTCAAGGTGTTAGGGCCTCTGTCTTTTTCCACTGCTGTTTACCCTTGGATACCTGCCTGTACATGTTACAGTAAACTGCATTCAGAAATGTTTGCCATCTCTTTCTTCTGTAAAGAATGTTTTTCTTTTCCCCTTTTTGTAGCTTTTAGAACCAAGAAATTCCTTCCTATCTTGAGTATGTATTCCCAAATAGCTTTTTAACAACATAGAAGATACCATATCACACAGATAATTTTTCCAGAGCTGTATCTTGTGTTTGGCATTGATCAGTAGCAGTGGTTTTGAATGAAGAAGCAGGAGAAAAACTCTGCAATGAGCAGTTCAGAATCTGAATTACATTTAAGAAACTCCCCTTTCTTACTCCTGTTTATTGGTTTGATTTCTGCCAAAAAGCATAGAGGTTTATAACCAATCTGAATATTGGATGGATTAATATGTCCTATTCAATGTAAATATGCTTAGGAATCTCATTAGCTTTATTGTTTGTGTCAGGAATAGAAAACAGACATTGCAATAAATTTTTAGTCCAGATTTGAGTTTCCTAAAAGTTTAGATCATTGGAATTGGGTGTCTTATGGTCAGATCTCGCTGCAAAGAGTATTGTCTCCAACTAAAAACCTCTGTACAAGCTCTGCTGTTGTTATTGCTATGTCCTTCTCTCCCACTACAGAGACAATCTTACACCTATCTTCTCTCAAAAAACATGGATGTGCTAAATGGAAATGTTTAGGGGGGAGTGGGGAACGTGACTGCTCCCTGTCATGCACAAAGCCAGTGGCCTGACGATAGACCAAAGGCATTTCCCAATTTAGTTATCCGGGGTTCTGGAGCCACAGAAAAATGGGTCCCAAAGTCTGTTTGCCACCAACATTCCTTATATGTCATTTTGGTCAAATCTGCCTTCTCATCCTACAGGGATGTCCACACATCCCCATCCAGCTGCTGACTCTCCAGTATAGGGGAGTTTCCCACAGGGAAGATGAGTTGATTGAAAAGCCATTTCCCAACACTCTGTGTTTATTATCTAGCATTTCCATGAGGAGCTGGCACTGCAGATGGTGGTCAGCACGGGTATGGTGAGAGAATCTGTCTTCAAGTATGCCTGGTTCTTCTTTGAGCTCCTGGTAAGATTTGACAGTGGTATTTTACAGTAAGTTAATGGTATAGTAAGTTAAATGTAGCAGGTACTCCAGGCACAGATTTAGTTGGGTGGTGATATCTTCAGTTATTCAGCCCCAGCGTAAAAAGGAGAGGTCCCAAATAATGGAAGTACAACTAAAGAATTCTCTATATTCACCCTCATTCGCCACTGACAGCTTGTGATGGCAAAGTCCTGCATGAACTACATGCACAGTGGTCCACACCTTGCAGAAGGCTGAAAGACAGACATCAAACTGAGCCCTTCCTTTTCTGTGAATACCTTTTCCTGTCTTTTCCACTTTGTTAACAACATGGGAGCAGTGACAAGGCTCCTCAAAATCACAGTTTCACAGAGCCCTGAGGTGGTGGATGTCAGTGGAAAAAACATACTGATTTCCACTGGCAGCATATAGGCAACCCAACAGCAGGTCAAGAAATAAGAATTAATTCCAGAAGCGTCACTCCCTGTCTGTCATCACGAAGGGCAAAAGTTGCAAACAGCAGCATTTCAGAGCTGCAGATGCAAGGGACTGGGCAGGGTGATTCTGATTTCAGGTCCTGAGAGTAGCCAACTATGTGAACATGAACAGTAATCAGTATCTGTCTGCGAGTCTTAAGCTGTCTGTTGTCATTGCCAGTACATGTAGGATTTATCACAGCAGCTCTGAGAAGATGAGAGCGATTACATTCAGGGAAAAACAAGCAGGGACTCTTACTCCCATGGACTAACTTAAAGCAGTAGTTTTACCTCCAGTTTGGGCATTTGTTTAATATTTTTTTTTCTGCTTTACAGATAAAGAGTATGGCTCAGTATGTTCACAACATAGAGAAGCAAGACAACCCACGAAGAAGCCGGTTCTCCGATCGCTTCAAAGATGATATTACCACTATAGTTAGTGTAGTTACTTCAGAGATTGCTGCACTTTTAGTCAAACCACAAAAGGTAAATGTAGATCCTTGCTACTCACCCTGTGTTACACCGAGCTGTATTTAATCCCATTTCACCTTCAGCAGCGTCACTAGAATTAGGCCAAAACTGAGGCAGTATTCTCACATGGACCTTAAGCAAGAGTTGTGGCTGTGCAAGGGGCAGCCTTGTGCACCCCTGGCAGACTGTTTTCATTCAGCTCAGCTCCCCAGCCTGCTTCTCGGTGTGGCTGCAGGGTGCAGGGGGGTAATCCTCTCTCCCATCAACAGGAAAGGTTGGACACCATTTTCAGCGGCAATGCTGCTTTATGCCAGGTTAGCCAGGGCATCAAACTGCAGCCCAAGCAGGGCTTATTCCTTTTATCTCCTTTTCCTGTTACCCTCGTTTCTACTGCACAGTGTTTTATTCCACATTTGACTTCTCTGACGGCAGTGGGCTATGCAATATGAAGGCAGTATTCTTCCTGAGGGTTGCAAAACGAGTGATCTAACCCCAGATCTCTTTAAAAAGGCATTGGCCACATCAAAATTAAAGACAAGAAATAAGCCCTAAATCCCATGAGATTCTTTCTCCTGATATATTTTAACAAGTTGCGCTGATATAACGGATTATAAAGTTGAAAGGATCACAAAATGTAATTTATATTTTAACATTAATACTGTCAGTTTACATCACTGATGTCACTCTGCACTGGCCAACAGACAAAGTTAAGGCCACAGATAGGCACTGGGTGACTATTGTTTGTTCAGTTGTTGCAACCGACTTGTTTTCATGCCCCAGGGCTGCCAAATGCACCATGCTAGCCCAGCAGTGTGCTCTGCCACAGGGCAGACCAGGCTGGAGAGCTGGCCTGATGGGTCACTTGAATTTCAACCAGCTCAGTTTCCTGATCGACTTCTCCATGTGTGCCCTGCTGTTCTGTTGAGGAGCAGGAACTGGGAAAGGGCCAAGACCAGACAACTGAGGACAGAGAATGGCAGAAGTGATTGTCACTGTCCACCTGTTGTTCCTGAAGCTCCACCCTTTGCTCGATCCTTTGGTGTGCTTCCGTGATAGCCACGTGCAGAGAAATCATTTCCACATAAATGCTTACTTACAGTGTCAGTGACTTTTTTTTTAAATACATTGTGTAATAAAAAATTGTTACATTAAAAATGTTTTAACAGACCTGTAGGTTTTGCCAAGAGATTAGTATTTTATGGCTTCCTCACAAGAAATACACAGGTTTTTATGGGTTGTTAATTCAATTCTATTTTGATAGAGTGAGTGTATAGAACTGATTATGTATGAAAATCCCACCGCAGTGTTTGCAGAATTAGGGCCATTGGTTAGTTGTACAGAGCAGCAGTAGGTAATGTGTGTCTGATTTTTAAATCCAAGCAGTAATAGCCTATGTTTCAATACATGGTTGAGCATGTCAGATTGCCCTGGGATTCTACAGCAATATGTCTGGCATATTTTAGCCTACCCAGTGACATAGTGGAAAACTAATTTTTTCTTCACAGTAGAAAAATGTTTTGCTGTGTGAATTCCAGATAGTAGGAAATATGTGTGTATATATATATATTCCTGAAAAGCAACAAAAAGGTGGAATAATGAGAAATATCATAACCACCCTGAGGTGCTGCACACCTGTTCTCACTAGTCAGAGACACGAGTAGGGACAACATTTTTCTTGGTCATCTCCTTCATCGGTCTTGAGTGAACCTACCTGAGGGCTCTGAGCATTAAATGTGTGCATATCCCTCAGGCACCTCCACAAATTCCTCTTGGTGAACTATATATGCTACTGAGATTTTATGGTTTAAATTGATATGTTTGAAGTAACTGTAGCCTTATTTTAGAGGGCATGTGAAGTTCTTTGTGATTTTTACTTGGGGACTGCGTATCTCTGGTAATCAGGCCAATTCTAAGCATGCGAGAGCTTAGCTGCTAAATGGTAAAACCCGCAGATTTATCTTACCAGTATTGTTTTACTATCAGTTTTAAACTTAAAATTTCTAAACAAAATACTTGGTATTCCATCAGCAGAGCCAGCGCAGATTTCTATTAATATTTTAAAAGAACATTTTGTGGTTTATGTACCTAAACCAGCATTCTCTAATGTTAAACGTTCAATTAAAAAAAAAAAAAAAAAGGCATATGCAGGATTGCAGCCCATAGGGAATTTGGAACAGGTCTCAGATTCCATTTCATTGTTGTCAGCCCAAAGGTTTGCATAAACAAACTTGTTCATTCATCTTATGATATTCCTCTGTGTGTGTCAGAGAAGGGCAATGAAGGGCAATGAAGCTGGTGAAGGGTCTGGAGAACAAGTCTTATGAGGAGCAGCTGAGGGAACTGGGGTTGTTTAGCCTGGAGAAAAGGAGGCTGAGGGGAGACCTTCTCACTCTCTACAACTACCGGAAAGGAGGTTGTAGTGAGGTGGGTGTCGGTCTCTTCTCCCAAGTAACTAGGGATAGGACGAGAGGAAATGGCCTCAAGTTGCACCAGGGGAGGTTTAGATTGGGTGTGAGGAAAAATTTCTTTACTGAAAGGGTGGTTAAACATTGGAAGAGGCTGCCCAGGGAAGTGGTTGAGTCACCATCCCTGGAAGTATTTAAAAGATGGGTAGATGAGGCGCTTAGGGACATGGTTTAGTGGGCATGGTGGTGTTGGGTTGACGGTTGGACTTGATGATCTTAGAGGTCTTTTCCAACCTTAATGATTCTATGATTCTGTGACAGCTACAACAGTTGAAATAATTTACAGGAGTGATTCTGTATAACTTTAACAAGATCACATAAATTGGAGAACTGAAACAATCTTGTCTATGAGATTGTTTCCATGAGATGTTTCTGGGAGCTGTCCCCACACTATTTTTTAACGATTCTAAAAAATATTCCACCTTTATATAAGTTTTACGCGTAATAACTGCAATTCTTTTTTTTTTTCCTTTTTTTTTTAAAGGAAACTGAGCAAGCAGAAAAAATTAATATCAGCCTGGCATTTTTCTTGTATGATCTTCTTTCTTTAATGGACCGAGGATTTGTGTTTAATCTCATCAAACATTACTGTAATCAGGTAGGCACCATGCATGATGGGGATTGCATTTGGCTTATGGCCAGTCTGGTGTTCTGTTCTGTTTGATTCATTTATCCATCAAGATCCTTTGGGCTGTGTTAAAGGGCCAGGTAAATTTCCTATTGCATACAGAGAGACTTTAAACCTCTTTTGATTTGTGGTCTGCAGAAGAAAACTGAGTGGAGGTTAAGACTCTCTTAGAAATACCATACATTGCACTGCTGCAGAGCATCCATGGAGCTACTTTTCTTCCCTTACTTTTTTACATCCCTAGCAGCAGGGTCTGCAGACCATACAGAGCAGCTTTTGGCCTCTGACTCTTCTAGTGCACTGCTGTGATGGACAGTATTTAGATTTGGGGGAGTTCAAACAAAATGATCCATCTCTGTCTTCTTGCTTTACAAGCCTCCCAAAATTAAAAATAAATGATGATGCAGGATGCTGTTATGAAATTATTCATTGTATTTGAAGGGGAAAGTTTTCCTTCTGTTCTGTGACCTGATATACCTGCTGTAGCTTTTCTGCCAAAAAAAGGCCCTCTGTTAGGTGATGGTAGGTAGGAGAACGCAAGGTGGCTACCACCCTGGTTTCCTATAGTATGTGTAATACTCCACTGAAGTCACTGGTGATACGAAGGGAAATGACAAGACCATTGATGCTCTGTGTTGCCTAGCAGGACTTTTTATGAGTTTACCACAGACTCAGGAGAGTTTTGTTTAGTTTTAATCTTTGTGTTATGCAAAAGGGAAAAAATACTGTATGTTTTTCTTTTGGGAGGAAAAAAAATACAATTGATTGTCTCTTGGGAAGTTGGTAAGTCAGCCAGGGAGGGGGGAGAGAGACACCACCACTGCCAAACAAAGAGCAACTAATGGATAGAAACTGGATAGAAAATGGATGGGTACAGGGAACCAGTGAGCATTTTAATGCATGCTGGGCTATTTGTCTATTTCTGTTTCAGGAAGCAGGATATTTTACTGCATGGTAGTTTAAATAGTGCACGCCCGTCACATGACACTTTTTTGGTTTGCTTTTGTAGCTCTCAAACAAGCTGAATTCACTCTCCACCCTGATTTCCATGAGACTGGAGTTCCTGAGAATTCTCTGCAGCCATGAGCATTACCTCAATCTGAACCTCTTCTTCATGACCTCCGCGTCTGCTCCAGCATCCCCCTCCCCCTCCTTATCCTCCCAGGTAGACATCCATTAGATGATATTTCATGAATGTCACATGAAGCACACATACAGAGAAAGACTTATGTTGCTCTGTATTCAGATACTTAGGTTAGAATTAGCCACTGTTGGGTCAGGGAGAACAACTTCCCTCTTGAAAGAAAAGGGGCAGAAGAATAAACACTAAAGGAGTACTACTGCAAAACTGCATGTACACAAGTTACAACTTAACGTGACACAGATATATGCCCCTCTAAAAACATGCAAACAGAAAATGGCTGTTAAGGTAGACATACAAAGTCTAAAAGGAACATGGCTCTGAAGGCTAATTTACAGGTGCACCTATATCCCATACATACATAAGCACAAATATGTATTTCAATATCTGTTTTGGAGAATTATGGCATGCAGCAGTGCACAGCAAACTTTCTGTGCATTTGCCTTCCAGTTGAACTTCTTGTTCTCCAAGTAGATGTAGATGCTACCATTATGCAAGTTAGTGACTAAAACACTGCAATTTTCAATGTCCTGGAATCATGGATTTCTGTTGAGCCTTAGTGTTGTTCAGAGCAGGATTATCATGCTTTCCTTTTCAAATAGCAGCATTCTTTGTTCTGGGTTCCTCCCCACTCCAGTGGTACAGATGATGTACAGACTTTGCCAGTGATTTCTCCGTGTTTTCTGGACAGTGTTTTCCCTTTTATTTGAACTTTATGGTTTTTCTGTGTGGAAACAGGTATCCTAGTAGACCTCTCCACACAGTTTTTGTGAATGCCCCTCCTCATCACTTCTCATTTCTTGCAGGATGTCGTTCCCAGTACATGCACATTTTTCCAGACGTCACCGATACTGACATAGCTCTAGACCTCCTGAATGTCGGGACCTCCCACCCGTCATCCTGGGCATTGCATTCATAAACACATTCAGTAAAGAAATTGGCCACCACACACTATTTTGCCAGTCTTGTGCTCTTATCCTCTACATTCTACTTAGATGGCATCTTGCTTTTACCATGGGGCAGACCCCCTAACAAAGGTTGCTAGTTTGCCTGTTTTCCGCCTCAGTAGTCTTGCAGAGGTCAGGACTGGGATGAAGCATTCAGTGCAATGCCCCATAATTGCTACAGCCCTTGGATGCAGGGGAATGGATCTGAAGCTAAGAATAGTGGAAGGTACAAAAACACTCTGAGTAACAGAGCAGTTCAAGTTCACGGTTTCTTTTTCAAGTGTCATTGCCAAAGAACTGGTTGGATGCTAAGCTGTGCAACATCTCATACCTTAAGGGTTCTGACAGGTCAATAATAGTAAATAATATTTTCTTGAAGTTTTTCTTGGTCTTAAAAGCAGAACATGAAGGTCTTAGAGTCGGGATTTCCCAATAGTTTTGCTTAATGCTAATCTTGGATGCCAAAGAACTAGAAATGGGACTCCTTTGCTTATGGGGGAAAAAAGAAGTCAGCATAGCTCTTGCAACTAGTTCTAGCAAGTCGGAGCTGGGCAGACACCGGTTTAATTATTCTTTCCTTCAAGCAACATCATCCACTCTTTTTCTCCTTTAGGAGTAACCTATGAAGTGCAACCTGCACAAATCAATAAGGCTTTTGTGGCCCTTGGATGATTTAATACATTGACTGACCTCCCCTGCAGTAATTTTGATCTGTCTGCAGGAGTGCTGCCCAGCTAGAGTTAGATTTTCAGTAAGAAATGTGGCCTTGTGAATAAATCTTTTGGAATTCTTGGAGAGAAGCCAAATCCACTTAACTGGGTGCTCTACACTTTAACGTTATTCCACACAGACATAGTACAGCCAATGCCTGTCTGCTTGAGGTTGAAATGGGAGTGGGCTTAAGTATGTGGATCCAAAATATGGGGCTGCTCAGAGACATGAGTTTCATTTGACCCAATATGCTGGAAGACAGCTGCCACAGTGTGGTATACTGCTACTTCGTGTGTTTGTTATCTGGGACTATTCCCAGGTGACTGACAGAAATATTGGGAGAGAGTATTGAAGAATATAAATTAAAAGCAAAATTTGGACTCGTAAACCTCAGTAGCTGCATGGGGGAGTAGAGCCTAAGACTTATGCTCACCCGATCAGGGGACAAAAACATTCCAGGTGACCTGTGGCGCAGACCTATGATTGGAGAAGCTGAGAAGTTCACAGCACATATATAGCAGCAACTTTCCATTCCTGGGCTGGCTGTATATCCGTCATAGCCATAAGTTACAGCAGTTTGAAGGCTGCTTTAAATTATGCCAGCTGCCAGCAAGCTCAGCCAAGGATTTCCAGGGTGAAAGGAAACACTGTTCACACGTCTTTCCTGACCTTACTTCCCTGCTAGACATCATGGATGCTGAAGAAGGCACAGTGCAGATCTTGTGACACCAAGGTCCCTCTTAATGTAGGGGCAGCCTCTTGCTGTACAATCACCAGCAGCTGCTCTGCAACAGTTAAGAGCAATGTAAAGAGTTGTAAACGTGGAGGAAATTCTGATTTTGTGTCTTGTCCAAACTAATGAATACAGGGTAGGAATTTTACATCTCAAAAAATGTCAAATGAGTTGCTCACACAGAATGGAAAGGATGAGTTCGCTTCCTAGCAAGCAACTCATTTGGAACTAGATGCTTTTTATTTCACACTCAGATGTTTTCCTTCAAAATGTCCAACCTTTTTTCAAAGTCTGTGCTTTTCCTCTGGTAGAGATTTTCCATTAGCTACATGGATTGTGACTACAACCTCTTTAAGAAGCTTTGATTTCAGTGATCATTCTTTAACACTTCTAATATACTTCTGCAGAACTCTAGCTCCTGCTCTAGTTTCCAGGACCAGAAAATTGCTGGTATGTTTGACCTCTCAGCCGAATACCGTCAGCAGCACTTTCTGACCGGCCTACTTTTCACTGAATTGGCAGCAGCGCTGGATGCAGACAGTGAGGGGTGGGTATCCCAATTTGCAGATTTTAGAATGGGATCGAGTCACACTATTACTCTTGGCAAGGTCATAGTTTGATTCCAGGGCAGTCCTGTTTCCCCCAGTCTTTTCAGTGAGTCACTCTGTAACTTACCAATAACCCAGTCATTGTTTTACCTGCAGTGTGTTGGTCCCAGTGAATAAAAATACACTGTTTGTTGCGGTAGTGTTGGCTAAATACACGAATTGAGAACACAACTTAAAATTTCAGTTTCTGTTCTCTCTAAAACACCTCTGCCTTTGTCTGAGCTTAAGAGTTTAGCTAAACCTTGGCCAGAGTCTGATGCTTTTCTTCAAGGATCTCCCTTCACCATATTGAATTTTTATGGGAAGTTTGAATGACTGGGGTGCTCTTTGATTGTGGTGAAGTGGCTTGGAGATGTAAGATAGCTATCTTTTGCAGGGAACATGAGTCTCTGCTCAGAATGGAAGAGATTATCTAATGAATATAGGCGTATTAATTTGTTTCTTTTACCTCCACTCTGTTTCTTAAATCTTAGATTATAAATCATTTGTGCATGGCCCATTAATGGAGCTCATGGATCGTTTTTGTGTTCACAGGATTAGCAAGGTGCAAAGAAAAGCTGTCAGTGCTATCCTTAGCCTGCTGAGTTCCCATGACCTAGACCCACGTTGCTCCAAAAAAGAGGTGAAGATTAAAATTGCAGCTCTCTACCTCCCTTTGGTTGGTATCATTTTGGATTCACTGCCACAACTCCATGATTTTACAAGTAAGACCTTTGTCCCTTTGTATTTTTCAGCGTCTTAGAGTGACTTGTCTAAACAGTATATCAAACATAAAAAAGATCACTTTAAGTGCAGAAATTCCCCGCGGTCTAGTAAGGTTGAATATTTCTTTACCTAGAGGTAAACTGGATTTTTAAAGACAGGAAAAACTTCAGTGCCCTCACTTCATGAGCAAATGATAGACCAGAAATGTATCTGTAAGTACTCCTGCCTATCTCTTAGTGTAAATATTATGATCCTGCAAATAAAGCCTGCAAGATCTGCGAGAAATATTGAGATATGGATAGGTTTAGTAGACAATAGGGAAGAAAACAAGAGTGATACTGACATCGTGTTACATCACAATTAAAGAAATCGGATTGTATTCTTTGTATCTTTTTCTATTGCTCTTTAGTGCTATTAACATGATACCAAAATTAATCTTGGGCAAATGTAATCATCACACAGGAAATATATTTTTATCATATATTATAACTATAAACTTCACTCTACATTATCAAGCCTTTTAAGACAACATTATCTAAGCTGTTTCCTTGCATTTTGCCACATGTGTGTTCATATGATACTGCCGAAAGTAGCTATTTCACATTTGTTTATAAGATAGTAGATCTCTGCTGCTTGGAAAACTACATTTCACTTCCATAAATAAAATAAAGGCTATTAAGAAAAAAAAGTATAATCTTTGAAGTATACACTTTTGTCACTGGTTCTGCAAATATTTTGCATTTAGATGTCTGGACAAAAAACTTAATACTATGAAAGTGTTATTTAGCACTCGCAGTCTAATAGGATGAAAGCATTTATTATACACTGGCTAATCAGACCTCAGCCCATTCTTCTAATCTAAGTATTATCCTTATACCACAGAAAAGGAGACATTATGAGCAAGCACAGGTGTACCAGTATGGCTAGGTTTTAGAGTATCTTTCTTTTTTATTATCTGTCACAAGAGGCTGTTGACCTCATTCTGAACACACTGGGACTGGCTGGTCACTCGGCTTCTCTGAAAAACAGGACTTGCAAAACACAAAGTGGACACTCAGAATCAGAAGAGATTTTTACAAAACTTAGGTATAAATAACTTTATTTGCTGAAAGTGGTGTCAAGAACTGGTAGGAAATAGAAGCAGCTAGATGCCTGAAATTAAACTTGTTCTTTAGCCAGCAGGCAATACTGGCTTTGTCAGCTGTTAGCAGACTTACATACTTTGTTGAATATCACCAAACCCAGGTACAGCTTTAGCGTTGATCCTCTTGTCTGAAATGGACTGGAACTGGATGGTTCCAAGTCTTATGAAGCGCTGGCTTAGCTTTGAACTTCGGAGACAACCTCATGTTTGCTACTGCCTTTGCTTTTAATTTAGCTTCTCCGAACACCTGGAGCTTATTGGACACATCTCCTTTTGCTGTGTTTATTTGAACAATTTGGCAACCTTTGCAGATGGCTGCAATCTGTCTAATGCTGCACCTTTTTCACTGCTTGGTACATCAGCCAGATCAACAGTCTCAGGGATGGAGATGCCAGTTGTTTTGTTAGGTTACAGCCCAATGGAAGACTGTGACTTGTGAGCAGCAACAACTGGATTGCTCCTGAAGTACCGATGGGATATTTCAAATCTAGTTTCAGATGCCCGCAGCGGAAAGGGACGCACAGGAAACCCAGAAGAAGAACAAGAGTCTGCCGGTGCAATCAATCAAAACGTGGCCCTTGCCATTGCAGGGAATCAATTCAACCTCAGGAGCTCCGGAATATCTCTGGTGTCCCTGGTATGTCCAGTGCTCTACCAGTCTCCTTTCTTGTATCTGTTTTCCTCTTTCTTTGTTTTCCCCTTTTATCCTTTCTTGCAACTAATAACTACAGTCATGAGAAACTGTGTTCTTGTTTCCTCCAGCCTCAAAGAATGCCTCATTCCTCCTGTCAACTCCTCCTCTTCTCTTCTAGTCATTTAATTACTCCTTTACCATAAGTAGTTCCACTTTTTCTCCCACATGCCTCTTTCCATTTCCACACCCAAACTAGACTAATTTCCAGATCAGCAAATACCACTGTGACTCCCCCACTGCCTCCCAGTCCCAGTCTCTCCTGAATTCATGGATCTAGGACTCAAGATCCTTCTTTTTCTCTCTCTATCTCTTTCTTCGTGGTTGTTTTTATCTTCTATACAATTTGGCTGACACAACTGTGTGGCAATAGGGGACCAAACAGTTACAGAATCTTTTTCTACATTATTCTGAGGAAATTAAAACACAAGCATCTAGCAAACAGTGCTCTTGTGCTTCTTTCTGTCTTTCACATGCATACAACTGGTCCTGTCACTAATTACACACACATTCAGAAAATACAATCAGTATAACCTGGAACAGGTTAAACTTACTGAAGTCCAGTCCTGAGATTTGATTTCACTGAAATTTAAATAACATTACTTCACCTGAATGACCTCCTCTTCTTTATCTTCTTTCAACTGACATTTACGTTATCTGCTCCTAGCCCTACAGACAGAGTGCCACATTAGGTCCTGATACTACTCGCAACCTTTTGATCTGTTTCCTCTGGATCATGAAAAACGCTGATGAGAATCTAATACAGAAATGGATTTCAGACCTTCCATCCATGCAGTTGAACAGGATTTTAGACCTCCTCTTCATTTGTGTCTCATGCTTTGAGTACAAGGTAAGTGAAACATGGCCTGATTTTGTCATCCTGTTTTGGTTTCATTTTTTTTTTCCTTACCTTCTGGCTGTCCGGGGGAAATTTGTTACTGACTATTGTTAAATTAGCTCTTGTCTAAACTATGCTACAAATGGGCAAATTAATTCAGATAAAGTAACTGACACTGGCCTTCAAGCAAAATGCAGCCAAAACCTTTGAGGAAGTCCTATGAAGTTGGCTTAAATTGTTTTATTATTTTCCTTTTCCTGGGAATTTGAGGGCTATTTTTGGTGGGCAATATATTGACAGCTCCTGTAAGTACTGGAGCTGTTCTCCTTATACTCTACCCATTTCAAAGCAAGGCTGTGGTGGATGACCCTTTAGGCAAAAGCTGGGACTGGACATCAGGACTCCCCTCTCTGACAGGGTCTGTCTGAAATGGATCAAATAACCTTCTCTCTGAACTTCAATTTCTCTCTCTCTAGTAGTGAGCTACATATTTGTGTTTATTAGCAGTACATACACTACCTCTTTCCTCATCTGCAGCATTTAATTAGCCTTTATATGTTAGTCAGTCATATTCATTGCTTTCTGCCCCCTCTACATGTCTCTCCTGATGTATCTGGTTCTGAAGATGTAATTTGGACTCATGTCCAAAGATGGAGGCATTGGTGTTGATTGCTTTGACTTTACTTTCAGGGCAAACAAAGCTCAGATAAAGTTAGCACTCAAGCACTCCAGAAGTCACGAGATGTTAAGGCCCGATTAGAAGAGGCTTTACTGAGAGGTGAAGGAGCCAGAGGAGAAATGATGAAGCGCTGCAGAATACCAGCTGGTACTTCATATCCCTCTCCCCCCATGTCTTTTGAGAGGATCTCAAGAGGTTGTAGACATAACTGAGTTTGTTGGGTTTTATGCACACTCCCCATTTTCATCCTTATATTTTTCACCCACAGTCCTTTCCCTTGCAGACCTTTCTTGGTTTTGCTGTGGATAAAAATATCATTAGCTTTCAAATATTCAAGTTGAAAGCTTCCATTTAATAAATGAAATAATTTGTGTTTTGGTCTTTGAAGACATCTGTAAGCAAGCTAATGTTGTAAAAATCCTAGATTAAAAAAATGATGGGGTCCTGTCCTTTTACTAGAGCCCTGAGGCTGTGAAGTTGAATGGTTTTAGTTCTGACAGACTGCTATAGACATGTATCTCCTTCTTTTGGTGAGCAAAAGGTGTCCCCTTCTGCTTTAATCTCACTGATATATGTTGCACTTTTAGGGAATGACAGATCAGCGGGGCTAAATGAAAACCTGCGCTGGAGAAAGGAGCAGACTCACTGGCGGCAGACAAATGAGAGACAAGATAAGTAAGTCATTTAATAAATATATATTGCTTTTATTAGAACCAAGCTGCTTGCTTTTTTTATGTTTTGTTCTTTCTCCTAGGATGTTTTATTACAAAATCACCACTTTCAATCCTTTCCCTCTTCTGTCAAAGAGAAAGAAATAGAAAATGTTTATGTAGCAGAAGTATCCAACTGTTGCTATGACACAACAAAGAGATCATAAATACTTGAATGAAAAGTTTAAATAGTTATCTACACATTTTTTCCTTCTGATTAGCAGTGTGGTAAACACTCGTTATTGATAGAAGTTGTATCAAATACTCCACAGGTGCTTGCTGCAACATTTATTTTGGTGTTGCTATGGCTCCTCACTGTATACAGTACTGTGGTGTAAGTTTTGCCACATTGAATCAGTTGAGCTGGGTTTGACGTGCTGTGTTAAAATTGAGAATAGTTAGTAGCAGGAGTAGGGGAAGATGATTCTGTAGTGAATATTTTTCTTGTTGCAGGTTTTAAGTTTTGATGTAGCAGTACATTTCACCTTATCAGCACTATATGGTAGTGGACAAGTCAGTGTCTAGGTTTATGGAAAACTGTATTTTTGGGAATGATTTGTGTTACTAACAGCATTTTCATATGGTATGTGCTAAGTTTCTGTAAGCACGGAACTTGTTGCTTTTCCCTAAAGGAGACGTGTCATTTGTCCATAGATACTTGCTTGAATTTTGACTACCTAAACGGGCCACTGTGTGTCAGATAGACCGTGGCCTCTCACCGGCCCAGCTGCTGTGAGCTCCCGTGATATCCTTCAGCATGTGTGAATTTGAACTGAGAAGACTGGCTTGTGCTATGCGGCAACTACATTGTTGTAGCCTAGCACTCATCCATGATTATCACATACATTTTTGAACACAAGATTGTTAATTTGGAATTTATCCAAACTTTTAAAAAAGAATCCTTCCACCTTGTGTGCTAGATTGGAAGAGGTGCAGATCCTGTGTGGATGTTCTTATTTTGCCCAGAAAGTAGCTTGCTTTCTCCCAGCCAGTTTCATTGAAATCAGAATAAAACAGTCCTCAAGCAGCAGCTCTACAGTATCTCTTTACAGTAGTTCAGTTAAACCACTTAAAATAAGACTTCTGGTTACATAAGTAAAACTCTGCATGCTGTCCAGGCCTTTCTGTTTTACCCAGCATTCATCACTGTGGTATGCAAGATGTTTGCTCTCATCCTTTGTGGATGCCTTTAGTGTCTATGTCCCATAAGTAAGGTGTTTGCAGGTAGTACGTGGCACAGCAGGTTTGCACAGGTCACCACTCAGCCTCACTCAGCCTGCTTCTCCTTGAGTCCAGCATGCTTTGGGTTTGTAGTTGCAGTTATAAGCTAAGCATGGTGTCAGAGAGGATCCAGTCAGGATGGTTAATGTGCAAGGCTCAGTGGTTGCTGGAAATGGTTCAAACAGCTATGCTGCTTGCTTGATTTGTTCAGTTCTTACTCATATTTAGCGACCCCTAGCTTGATTATAGCACCAGCGTTTTGGGAGGCCCTTCTGCTCTTCATTGCTTCGAGTCACTGTAATTAACAACCATACGACTGCCCTGACTTCCTTTCCTAGCCCTCCCCAGAATTATCGGGTTGTGGCCAAAAAGATGGCTCTTTACTTTTCTGGTTTTCTTTTTGGGTAAGCCTCCACTGGGCAGAAAAGGTAAGTGAACATAGCAGAAAAGCCACAGATTTTGCAGTCACTCAGAAGTATGATTGTAAGGGTGTTGCTTCCGCCACAGAAATGCACCTTAGGAGCTTTGGCCCAAGTCAGAGCAGCTCTAATCTCAAGCTCTAGAGTGCAGCTTCTGTCCATGCAACAGCCCTTTTCTGAGCAGTTTAGGAAAAAGAACAAAGACTCTTCTTTGTGTTTCTGGCATAGAAGGGGTGTCTGAAAATACACTTTTGTAAGGAGCTGCACCTATGCTTAGAGCATTCAGCTGCAGGGGAGCTGTGTTCCAGACCTCGTCCTTAAGTCTCAACTAAGACAGTATCATGCATTGCCTTACCAACACCTTCTGTCTTTTATAAATGTTTCAGTCCTCTCTTAAATGTCCTGAGGCACTGCTGTATTGACCCCGCAGCTGTTGGACCTGCTGACTTCTGTTGCCAACAGTCTCAACAATCAACATTTTAAATTAAACATTAAACGTTAAACACTGCTGCTATGGCATTGAAGCAATTTCCCCTTTGCCCAAGCCTGCTATTATTACTTTTTTTCTGGAAGTGTTAGATCAGTTGCCTTTTATTCCATTTTGGGTTTTGGTGTCCTTCTACAGGTAATGCATTCAGAAATTATTGCGTAGCTTATTGAACAATTGAACACGATATTGAGGGCAGAGTAGCCATTACACAGATTGCCATTAAGCATCTGTTTGAACTATCCAGAGGCCTAGTTTTCAGGTGTCCCCTTTGGGACTTCTGTTCTACGATATCAGCTCTCCTCATTTGACTCTGTAGTTCTCAAGAAACACCTCTGAACACTATTTTCATTGTTTGCTCTTACGGGATCGTTCAGAATGGTATCATTTGTATTTTGTCTTTGTTTAAACAGCAGGCCATCTGACTCTTGGGGTACTCTCTGTGTGCTTTAATTAGAACTCCTTCTTGCAGGACAAAAGCTGAGCTAGATCAAGAAGCTCTGATCAGTGGAAACCTGGCAACTGAAGCTAACCTGATCATTCTCGATATGCAAGAGAACATCATCCAGGTGGGAAATGGCAAACCTGGCTTGGTACCAATCCCTGCTCCCTCAGAAGCCAGTGGAAGCAAGATTCATTTCTCCTTTTGTTTCTTAGTCAGTGCAAAATGTTTTAATTGAAGATCTTCTGTAAACTTGTATAATATTGAAGGAAGAAAAAAGATGAAGAAGAATGAATCCAAAGATGAAATTGCTGCCTGCCTTTACGCTGTTGCCACAAGCCCCTTCTACTGTAGGGCATTGCGTTACTGTAAATGAAAGGGAAATCTACCACCTTGTTTTCAGTAGATGTTGTTGAAAGCCATTTCCACTGTCTTACTATGGTCTGGGAGTTTGGAGAGGATAAGGGAAGAAAAATCTTCATTTATGCTAGGAATGTATCTGAAGGTATTAGTAATTTGGAACTGAACTGCTGGGTGGCCTTTGGTCATACTTGCATGTATGATCCTGTGAGACAAAAGGATTTAACCTTGACTCCCACAGAGTGCTCAATGCAGGAAATTATCTTCCACCTGCATGGAGTCCTTCTGAAAAGAGGTATGGCTCCTTAGAGCAACGTAATGTGCAGAACTTATTTAACTTCTAGGAGTCAGAGGCAGTAAAATTTCACAGGTCCTTTGACAGCAGTGGAACCATGGTAGTTGACTCTGCTTAAACTTTGTCTCCTGGTTTAGGAGAGACACTCCAAATTCATGGGTATGGGAATACTACTGTTGGAGCAACATGCATATTCATAGATAGCAAGAAGAAAACTTCATTCTTGAAAACCTGTTAGTAGAAAAGCATTTGGCTACTAGACTTTTATAGTACTGGGCATGATTTTTGCACGACACCACTCATAGCACCTAGTTTCCAGTATGCCTGTTTAGCCTATATGCCCAGGAAATCAGAGCATGAGGAGGCAAGGGGAAGGATGGTGCTTGCCCACCACAGGATCACTTCCTGATGCAAGGTACGTGAAAGATTGGACAGAAGGTGGACAGAGCTTCAAGAGTCCCTGCAGAAGCTGGCTGAGCTTAAAAATGCATTGGAGGGTCTGCAGATATTGAGAAATATTTGGGCCATTTTCCCCTTCTGTCTTCCTGATCACTACAAAAGTGTTTTGAAATTCCCCTGAAGCAGATGTTAACAAATGAAAAAACCGCATAAACTCCTGGATCTGTCTCATGGACAGGAGAGCAGAACTTCAGTTCCTATGTGCCAGTTCATTGCTGAATTACCTCATGCAGTTACTGTTTTTCTCCTCCATGTGTAGGCAAGCTTTGCGGCAGAGTGCAGAGACAATCTCTTGGGAGGAGTTTTGAAGGTCCTGGTAAATTCTCTTGGCTGTGATCAGAGCACCACTTACCTGACTCATTGCTTTGCTACGCTCAGAGCACTCATTGCTAAGGTATGCTCTTGATATACTTCTGTTTTCATGCTTCCAATCAAGTTGTTAGAGCAGCATTTCTAGAGCAGAGCTGTGTGCATTCACTTACCACTTTTCCTTTGGCATTTGTTAAATATGTTTTGCATATGTAAATACAAATGCCTATCTATAGGGATGTTAAGGGACTTCTGTAGCTGTTGTAAGGTTATTTCATTGACCACACAAGATGGAATAACTGAATCTGAATAATCTTGTGGTTTTAGCAGTCTACTCTGAAATATAGAAGATTTACTAATAAAGAGGTCAAAAATTCCACCCATTATATTTCAAATACATTCTGATTTTAATTAGGAATCTGAATGCCAGGGATTGCACAGATTGCATAAAGTCAAATTTAAATTATTACATCATCAGGACTAGTTTCCAACCAGATGGGCAGCAGAGAAATCAAAGCTAACTCATCAGAGGTCAGGGGGATCATTCTAGGTTTCTACTTCTAAGATAGGTTCCAAAATTCTAAGCAGATTCTAAGATGTTGATAGATTTCATCTTTGTTCTGCCTAAAAATTAAGCCAAATTCTAATCTCTTTCATTTCTGTGTTACCAATTAAAAAAAAAAATTTCAAAATGTATATGAGGACAGGATTTGATCCAACATTTTTATAATATAGGTCATAATGGGTTAGGTGCTTCATTAGGACTCTCTAAAATCTGTTTAAGACTCATTCTCCTACAAAGAAAAGCAGTTCCACAAAGGAAAAATCCATGAAATATTTTTTTCCCCTAAACTATTCTGAAATGCAAATAACAAACAGGATACTCCTGTCCAATTAATGTCTGTCTGCTGTTAAATGCAGATTGGCTGACAAAGCCTAATGACAGGGTAGATATCTGAGTAGTTATGAAACTCATAATTATGTTTTCATTGTACTTTATCTTTGAAAGCTAACTTCCAATTACAATAATGAATTTTGTGAAGCAATCATTATTCTCATTGAAATAGATCTTCCAGTTAAGCTGACTCAGTTCTGTATTTTATGAAGCAATCATTCCAATTATTTCTATTACACTATAGGTATTTAGATGTTATTTTACAAATAAAAATGATAGAACCCTGTGCCAGCAGGCTTGTAATATAAATTAGACATAAAACAGTGAGGTAATGGAGTGAGGAAAGGTTGAGAACTGGGAAATGGGCCTGCAAATGAGAAATAATATCCTGTGTTCTGCTCACACACCTTTATCAGTCCTGTGTATGTACTGATACATACAGTACTGGTGCACCCGTGCTGTCTATGGTGAGAGTTTCTTAGGACAAACATCCTGCCCCCTGGGTTTATTGTCTGCTAGATGCATTGTGGAGACACTGTAAAGGAAAGTCTGGCATGAAAGCTGGGCAGTGGAAGTTTTGTGGCACACCGTAGGAGGAAGAACACACTGGAATGCTGGGGAAGGGTAGGGCGTTGATGCAAAAAGCTCGTAATTGCTCCTTATGCATAAGGAAGTATTTGCATGTTTCATCAACAATTATATATACTGAAAATAGCAACTCTCCATGCTTCTAAGAATTTTGCAATATTTGATGTTTTCAAAAGCTCCTGGAGACATGGGACTCTCAGATATTTTTTTATTCTCTCTCTGCCGCTCTTTTTCTAAACACAAAGACTATCTTCAAACCCTTCTTCTCTGCAGAAGAGCTTGAAAATGGAACCTATAGCATCACAGGAATCCGAAGTCCAAATAAAAAAAGTATAAAATGTAGTTTTTGTAAACTTTAGTCTTTGTCTGAATCCTGTGATTTTTGTACACTAAGCTAATGACGTTTTAATGGCCAGAAATGAGAATAATGAATGTTTTCTTCTCTATCTCCCTTAGTTTGGAGATTTCCTGTTTGAAGAGGAGGTCGAACAGTGTGCTGACCTGTGTCAAAGAGTTCTCCATCACTGCAGCAGCAGCATAGATATTACACGGACTCAAGCCTGTGCCACTCTTTATCTCCTCATGAGATACAGCTTCAGCTCTACCAGTGTAAGATTTTGAGAACAGCAGTATGTTTTGTGCCACCTTTTTTTGTGACCAATTGAAATTGAAACTGAAGTTGTGATAGCAAATGGAACGCATCTGCACATAAATAGTCATATGTTACGCTGTTTTGCATATTTGAGCCAGAAGAAGTCCTAGAAGTGTAGGGGGAAAGTAGTTTTAACTATTGTTCATTATTTTGTTTAGGAAAAAGTTACTTTTTCTGCAACATCTGTAAACGCATCTTCAAATGGAACAGCATTAGGCCTCTGGTAGCAAGGACTATACAATGCATAAGCAATACTCCTCATTTTGTCACTTTTTTTTTTTCACTCCTGTGTCAGAACTACGTAAACTTAGACTAGTTCTATTCTAATGCAATTACAACCTCAGTACAACTATTGTATGCTTCTATTAATGGAAATTCTTCGCTGGCCCCTTGGTCTCAGGACTAGGCTCTGATTCTTACCACACATATGGAGCAAAATACATATGTTATGCATGTAGGTTCACAATGTCCTTGCACGAAAGGACATGCATTAGCATTTTGGATAGCATCTGATCTTGCACAGCATTTTCTCCCCTAGTTGTTACTTTAAAAGCCTTGAATATGTAAAAAGTGTTGGCTTTGCAGGAGGAAAATGTGCTTTTGAGACGCCATGATCAGCAGGGCGTAGTGCATCACCACGTGAAGCCCTCAGAGGCCTTTTGCTTTCCAGACTTGTTTCCAGAATGTTTTCCCAGTCCTGCTTCCTCCTCTTCTTCTCTGTGGGTGGCCTGATCTACACACCCACTGGCCTATGCAGAGGGGGAAAGAGGTACTTCTGACTTCCCCTTGTCTCAAGCAAGCGTATGTATTCCAAGGTACATTCTTGTCCCAAAGTACAGACATGTCAGAATTGGGGAACTTTGGCTTAACCAGGTAAAACAGGACCGGCTTTGATGCACCAGAGGCCACTCATGTGAGCAGTGAGTTTAATGCACTCAGTGTGGGCAGGAGAAAGTGGGTTTGGTTTATACAGTAGACAGAGATATGTGAACTGATATGCATGGTGCAGTGAGCCATCATTCTCTCATGTTTTTGTTTTTTCTTCTGAAAGAATTTTGCAAGAGTGAAGATGCAGGTGACCATGTCACTAGCCTCTCTGGTTGGCAAATCACCTGAGTTTAACGAGGAATTCCTTCGGCGATCCTTACGAACCATCCTAGCCTATGCAGAGGAAGATGTGGATATGCAGGCAACTCCATTTCCTATTCAGGTCAAATCTTTTATGACATCTGTGGCTTTTATCAGGAGCTTTCACACAGGAATGTGCTTGGAGCAAATCCTAGATCGTGGGCTTCCAAAGCAATGAAAATAAGGATGCAGGGGTTATTGTGTGAGTTTATTTCTAACACAATAGTAAGCAGAGAAGAAGCGGAGGACATAATTCCACAGAATAAACTCTTAAGAAGTTCCACTGAAATCACATTACAGGAGAATCATCTCTTAGCTTTGTGTACAGCTTTCTTCTAGACCCCAGCAGGAACTGTACCCTGTAAGAGTTTCCCAAGATGGAATTTGATTCATTATGTTTTCAGACAAGTAGCATCATGGAAATTTCTCTCACTTTTTCAATTCATAAGGCAGCAGCAGCAATCATGAAAAACATTTCAGACAACTGTCAGATGATTTGCTAAAATTCTTACAGTAACTCATCTTGTGCTGAAGACTTACAAAAACATCTGCTTTGTTGTCAGATCACAGGTCAACTAAAGCTGAACATTAGCACATAGGTTTGATTTTTTTTCCATTCAGAAATGAGCAGATCAAATCCCACTCATTTTGATTAATTAAAATCTGCGTATAAGATTGCTATGTCAGCCAGCAGTCTTTGCTGCATTGAATAGAGTTGGAAATACAAATCTTGTAGCAGTTCGCATCCTGACATTTCCTTGGGTAAGAGGGACTAAAAGAGAGTAACATCATCTGGTGCAGATGCTGTGATTTTTCTAGAAGGGAAAAAAGGAATGCATGTTGATCTTTGTATTACTGCAGGTAGAGGAGCTGCTGTGTAATCTGAACAGCATCCTGTCAGATACAGTGAAAATGAGGGAATTTCAGGAAGATCCGGAGATGCTCATGGATCTCATGTACAGGTGAATCCGTTTAGAATTGCTACTGAGGAAATTCTGCAGTGAGGTGAGCACAAGAACTGCGTTTTAGGAACAAGCTGTGGACAAACCCTCTAGCTGTTCTGTTTGTGTACACTCCCGCTTTAGCACAGCTGATCAGTCACAGGGGGCCCAGCCTGCAGGACTGAGCATGTTGCAGTGGAGCCACTGAGAGGTGGGCGTAGACTTGGGCAAGAATGGGAGTCAGGGACTGATGAACACTGAAGAGTCTTCAGTTCAGCAGTTTTACCCTCCTTATAGCCCTTGTGTGTCCTGCCTACCCCTGCCTAACCATTTCTTTTGCCCTGTGCTTAGTGAATTATACGGAATAAAGGCAGAGGTGTCTCCTTCCGTTCAGTCCAGGTGGAGAATTACAAAGGTTCTTTCTGTTATTGAGAAGAAGTGACCGTTCACACCTCCTTTCTGCCCTGTGTTGTTAGAATTGCCAAAGGATACCAGACATCACCTGACTTGAGGCTGACTTGGCTGCAGAACATGGCAGAGAAGCACACCAAGAGGAAGTGCTACACAGAAGCAGCCATGTGTCTGGTCCATGCTGCAGCACTGGTGGCAGAGTACCTCAGCATGCTTGAAGATCGCAACTATCTCCCAGTGGGCAGTGTCAGCTTTCAGGTAAGAAAAGGCTCCCAAGCTCTGACAGCATAAGGCTGGGATGGCCTGTTCTGGTGTGTGTATTATGCTAAGCAGAGTAGAAGTGCATGTATGGGGAGGAAGAGTTACAATGGCAGAGTATCCATCACCACTCTTGGTAGGTTGTTCCGATGATTTATGCTTACTGATGAAAACTGGTACTTTAGTATCTGGCTGTCTCTAGCTTCTACTTCCAGCAGCTGGATACTGTAATCTCTTGTCTGCTAAGTAGACCCCTCTATTATTACATGCCTTTTCCTAGGGCTGTTATTTATCAACTGTAACAGAGGCATCTTTCAAAATTCTTTCTCATAATCTAGGTAATTTGAGCTACTTGGTTCTTTTAGGCATGTTCTCCAATCCTGTGACTGTCCTCCAATTACTAACCAACACCCTTTCGATGGATGAATGACACAATCCTATAGTCTATACACAGTCACATCAAAGTCAAGTAAAAATGTCCCATAAGTTCTTTAAGCCTGGGAATTATCTCTCAGTTTATCTTTCCGAAGACTCCACTGGTTCTTTTGGTGTTGTTGAGCTCTTTACCCAGTAATACATTGATCAAGAGTTTTCTTGGGTTTTGTTTTTCACCCTTCTTTTCTACATCATATAGATGAAAGCATAACTCTTCTGTTAGAGTTAGACATTTTGAAATGCAGATATTATACATAGTTATCAGATTACGCAGTTTTGGTTACCCTTACCTGAACTGACTTCATGTGCAAATTCAGTGATTTTACTGCTTTTTTCACACATTATTAAAAATAAAAATGGCTGAACCCTTAAAATATTCCCATGTGTTGATGATTCCTCCTTTATCGTTATTCTCCAAGACCAGTGAAGACCATTGTTCATTTACAGAGTTTGCTGCAATGATTATGAATCATTCCAACTCATTAGTGGAAATGTTTTGCAGAATCAGCTCATATGTTGTATAGACATCTACTGTTTGGGCATTATGGCCTTTATGAGATTGTAATCTCTTTAGAAGTATCAGGTTTCTATAGTCTGGTGTTGATTCAGATTAATTACAATACCTTTAATTTTTTCTTTAGTAATATTTTGTACCAGTATTTCCACCACTTTGTCCTGGATGCAGACTGATAAACCTACCACTATCTGCTCATCTTGTTTACTTTTAAAAACATGTGGTCCCCAAAGCGTATTTCCTCCTCTGGAACTTCCCCAGTTTTCTAAAACATATGGCAACTCACTATTCGCTGCCTGAATACCCTTTTGCTTAGCTCTTTTAAACTGTTGAGGAGCACATTTTATGGTACAGGTGATTTTGAAATGGCTAACACTAGTAGTTGGTACATTCACCATCCCTTGATATAGCCATACCACCTGGATTTTTTTTCCCTTCAGAATAGTAAATAACCATACCGCTTGGGGTATTTTTTCCCTTCAGAATAGTAAATGTGAACGTGATTGAACCACTTGGCATTTTGCATTGAGTTTAATATTTTGGGTGTTAGTATTTGCAATTCTACCTTAGCAATCACATGATGGCCTAGGGTTATTCTTAAATTCCTTTACTTTTAAGGTAGCTGTATATACTCTTTTTACTGGCTAAACTTCTGGCCATGGATTTATACTTCTGCCATTTTGCATCCCTTATCAGCTTTGTATACTTTCTAACTTCTAACTTCCATTCATTACTTCTGCTTTCTTCTTTTCTCCCTACTAGTTACATACTATCA